TATCGTATGTATGTATGTATGTATGTATGTATGTATGTATGTATGTATGTATGTATGTATGTATGTATGTATGTATGTTTCTATGTATGTATGTATGTATGTATGTATGCATGTATGTATGTATGTATGTATGTATGTATGTATGTATGTATGTATGTATGTATGTATGTATGTATGTATGTACGTGTGTATGTATGTATGTATGTATGTATGTATGTTGTATGTATGCATGTATGTATGTATATATATGCATGTGTAAATTTATTAGATCATGGCAATTTGTATTGATTAAGGTCAGACATCAGATATCTGCTAAACCCAATACCACTTCGTCGTCACTTTTGGAACAGAAACAAGACAAATGCCTTCTGCATGCGTATTGGGAGTGGCGTTTGCGAACCAAGATTGAGCGAGAGCGCTTTGTACTGGTATGTTCAATAGCAACAGAATGAACCCAATTCGCAACCTGATGCTCGAGCACAAGTTGTGTTTTCAATCGCTGTACTTTTCGGGCCTGTTTGCGTTTTGTGTATGTTCTGTAACCTCGGGCCGACCGTTGCAGCATTGTTTCATTGACACGTCCGATTGATAGAACAAATTTAAAGTAAGCGTTTGAACGTACAGTCAATGGATTCGTCACAGTATCACTGTGGGGACATAACTTCAGGCACAGTGGAGATATCAGACCGGACATGCCATGTGAAATAGGCCGTTCTTTATCCTGAGATTCAGTAAATACAGTCATTTGCCCTATCCTCTATAACCAACCCTGATGCGCTTATCCGTGTCTAAGACCAGCCCAAATGCGAACCATGGTGTCATCTACGCTCACAGGAGGCTGAGGAATTTTTGAATATGGATGAGGAACGCCGCGAGAAGATCAACCAGGGGTTCAGCCACAACATATACAACTCATTGTTTTTCAAGGCCATCGCTGCACCGGTAACCATGGAGATCACCAGGCCGAACACGGTCGACATTGACTCACAATCTAGGTTATAGCCCAAATGAGGTGTATAAATGCTGCCATTAATAATAGGGCGTCTTGGTCGCTATGCATGTGTATTGTCATTGGTTCGGAGAGCGCCGGTCGAAAGGACTGGTATATATCTGACTATTCGGCGAATGTAATCATAACGAACTCGTTGAGACGTGTGATGTGATATGCCTTTGATTGACTATGACAGCAATGTGTAGTACAAATACCAATCAGACACAATGGAGTTTCGAAATCATACGTTCTCAAACACAGTGTAGATTTAGTATGATGTGGTTTAAGTGAAAAAATCATAATTTCATCTATAATAGTAGTGTACCTCCTGGGACAATATGGGAATACAAGCTATTGGTCACAGAGCGATTGGTGGGCTATATCATGAATGATAAGCAACTGCTATCAAGCGCATTTCGCCCACGAGTGGCTCATGTATGTATATATATATATACATGTATGTATATATGTATA